ACACACACACACACACACACACACACACACACACACACACACACACAACAGCAATAACAAATTACAGTACAGAGAAAGGTTAGACAGGTTAACAGACTGGTGTATGGACAATAACCTAACATTTAGCATTAAGAAGACGAAAGAAATSGTTGACTTCAGGAAACACCATGAGGTCCGCTCCACTATCAAAGAGGAAGTGGACCAGGTCTTCGGCTTTAAATATAACCATGATTAGACTGACTTGTCTTGTAGGGCAAGTTAAAAGAGGAAGTATTGGTAAAATTACTGTGAACATATAAAGATAATTATTGCCCGTCTATTTATTGTTTAAAATATGTCTCAAATAAAAATTATTGTGAACATTTAAACAGAATTTATTGACTTCAAATTTGGTGCAACTAGCATTTTCTCAAGTTATGACAAATATTAATATTCATTTTTTTAAAAAATGACTCTTTTTCTAGGTGGGTTAGGGCTGTTTTGACCAAGCTGAATTGTCCCTCCACATGCACAGCGTTCAAATTTCCTGCAGCTAGCACCTTCCTTTCCCGAGTTACTACTAAAAATTAATATTTACATGTAAACGGTTGATCAGCTCCCGTAGCTGGGGAAAAACATCCTCAACAGTGGCTCTACTCTCAACGCCAGTCAAACTCCAGTCCTGGAGGGCTGGTTTCCTGCATGTTTTAGCGGTTTTCGTGCTCCGCCACACCTGATTTGCATGAATGGGTGATTAACAGGCTTCTGCACAATTTGAAGGGTTAATTCAATCATTGAATCAGGTGTGTTGGAGCAGGGAAACCTCTAAAACATGCAGGATAATGGTCCTCGAGGACCGGAGTTTGACACCCCTGATCTACAGAAACTAAAAAAAACATTGGATAGAAGAGCTCAGAGCCTTTTAACATTGCACTAATGAGACTGTATGTATGTGAATTGCACAGAAGCAGACCGGAAGTCTCCAGTGTGTCATAAACCATCAGAGARAAAAAACTGGATTCAATATGCCCTCTCTGGAAGACATTTACAGAACCCGGTGCCACTGCAGATGCCACAACACTTGYAAAACTGATGCAATGTAGAGTGTTAAGTGTTAATGACTAGTCTTAAGTACGTTGTWCTCCAGGCAATGACAATAAAACCTATTCAATACCATCCATCACAAAAGCGAGCAGCTCACCTCAGAGTACTCCCTCCAGCCAAAGTTGTCTCTGCAGTAGTACTTCCACACCGTGTAACAGCTGGGGGTGGGGTTTGGGTTGGTCGCAGGCATGGGCAGAGGGCTGGGGGGCGTGGTCAGCCGCCGGACGCAGTCGAACTCCAGGTCGCATCGCATCAGGTCACTCACTCGCATCGTGCCAAAGTTGAGGGTAAACACTTGGCCCCTAAAAAAGAAAAAAAGAGGCAAATAAATTTTGACTCGTAAAAAGAGCTACGCAAGCAGCCAGCACTCACACCCACGCTGCTGTGGTCACGGTGACCTTGCCGTTAAAACGATCCCAATTTATAGTTTCCCCATCAGCAAGCCGTGTGACCAAACACGTGGCTGCCATCGATGGAACCTCAATTCAACCTGTGTGCCCCGGAGCGATAAGACTTTAGTCAAACAGAATGAGTCATGCAGGATGACAGCACTTTGTAGGCAAACAGAGCACATGGTCCAAACTTAATCCTTCAAACATAAAAGTGATTCTAATGGCTCCTCAACGGCTAAAACAGATCAAAACCTAAAAGCATTGTAGTAAAGTCTTGCTAAGGCTAATAGACCTCAGCTAACACAAAAATGACATTGACACTTTCATTTAATCTGAYGGTACGCAGGAACAAAACTAATGGTAACATTTAGCAGTCAAAATATTTGTTGAAAATGACCCAGCTAACACACCAATATTTAGCACAACGCTTAATATATTTAGATTTTTATTTATTTAATATGATTACTTTGAGTTTCATTAAAACGTAATCCAATGGTCCATGAGACATTTTGCTGCAGATAACGACATACTGCACACACACGTTTGTATTTCTATCTTTATTATGACYGTTCATTGACTTCCGTTTATTTCCAGTCATTTCTCATTTCACTAATCATTAACCCTGACCCCTTACCTTACACCCACACATACACACACATACCCAACTTTAAACCTAATCTTTGGCAGCTGGCAATAAAAAGCATCTACCTTTTTTTTTACTTGATTTTATTTTAGAACCACAAAATGCAAATAGTTAGAAATGAAAGGAAATCTCAAGGAGATGTTTAGAAGTGTCTTTCCTGATAAAAAAAATTGTGCTATTGATCATTGCGTTCACTAAAAACAGCCACCTTCTGGTTTGTAAGTAGAGAGGCAACACGTAAACTCATCATACAGCCTCCTCTAACCTTTGTGTCTGAACATGTGCGAATCAAAAAACCCTGTTATGGGTTTGCATGTGCGCACATGTGCTTCGGCCTCCACATTTGTTCTCCAAATGGCCTGTGGGAAATCTTTTCTGGGTCAGACGTTGCATTCACATAAACGTGCCCATCACACACTGGCACGTTATGGTTTAAAATAAAATAAAAAAAGTGGRGGCAGACAGACCCGCACGTATGTACTCGAGAGTTATACGAACTCGAGAAAGAGGGTCTTTTTTTCCTCCATTTAAAACAAAGAAACCTAAACAGTGATTTAAATACTAATTTTCTAATTCAACAGCCTTGCAACCTTTTGTTATACTGGGCACACAGTCAACAAAAAAAAAAAAAAATCCAGATTTTCCTTCCTGTAGAGGATGAATACTGGTCACTAAGGCTTAATGTGCACAAATTCCAATTTCTGCAATAACTGCAATAATGGGAGGTCTTGACTCATTTTCCACAGACTAAAAAAAAAACATGGATATAAATAGAAGCTATACATGTATTCTCAGAGCCGGCGCTTCTGTCAAGTCATACTGTGACTGTGTCTTAGTAAGAGGAAGTGAAACAGGAGGTCATTTACGGAGCACGTGCAGAAACAAAACAGTGACTGAAAAGCGAGTCACCAGGCTCTCAGGTCAGCAGAATATCAGACGCTGGAGCGGATAATGTAAATATGCTCGCAATTTTCTGTTCTGTTTGACCTTTTATACTGTTCTAGAAACTAAATGGCTGTTTCGGTTTCATGTGAAAACAAGAAAACAATGATTTGAATRTCAGCAACAGAACAGGCACTATTATAGGAATAGGTGGTGAGAAAGTAGAAACAGGAAAAACAAAAACAAGGCAAGAATCTGAGAATGTGGCACAAACAAATTAATAGAGAAAAACWGTACATCTTCTGCTCCTTTTTGTTTTTAATTATTTCTCACTTTGTTCTGTCTCTTCTGTTCCTCTTTCCACTGCTTCTTTTGGAATCAACACGTAAAAAAAAAAAACTGAACAGAGATGTGTTGAGAAAAATATGCATGCCAGGCACCTGCAGGGTTCTCTTCTCTCAAGGCGGAACAGTATGTATAGTATGTGATTAACTACCAGCAACAGCATGCTGTGTGTGTGTGTATGTGCTTACTTTGTGGKTTTTTTTAGGACTTCTTCATGGCATAAATAACTCAGGGACCATCCACAGCCCTTTATGAACATGAAAACAATGTTTTTGAAGCCTCAAAATTATACGTTTTTAAAGCAGGTTCCGTTTCTTCAATAGATACAGTGTTGGAAGAATGAAAAAATATTTGGAAAAACTACATTTTTGTGACTTTGTTGTCAGGACCAAAGCTCAGAACATTGGGCCTCATGCAAGAACCGTTCGTACGCATAGATTTGTTCTTAAGTTGTGCGTACGAGTGATTTAGGAGAATTTGTGGCATTCACCAAGTTTCTCGTATTGTAGAAGAGTTTTTTCCTTCAGAAACAATGGGCCTCATGCAAGAACCGTTCGTACGCACAGATTTGTTCTTAAGTTGTGCGTACGAGTGATTTAGAAGAATTTGTGGCATTCACCAAGTTTCTCGTGTTCTAAGATTTTCTTCAGATACGAACAAAATTCACGAGTGGTCCAGACCAGCTGTATATTTTACGAGCAGTCAGTCTGCTGTTATCCAGACTGATTTAAAAAAATAAGAAACTAATATTCAGTTCTGCTTTCTACTGAAGTGGCTGGGGGGGAAAAAGGTAGCAGTGCGCGACTGCTCTTCCTCTAAATAAATGAAAACWATGTAACACAGTTGTTTACACTTAAATTAAAAATATTTGACCAAAGAAAAACCAGAGCAGGACTAGAGAGAGATGAATATGATTTAGATTTTTATTTCTGTGACAGCAGACACGACATTAACAGCAGTAGTTATTTCATTCCTCAGCTTTATCAGGTCTGACGCTGCTAAAAATGACAGATTTTCTTTTCTGGATCTCTGAGAGCAGGACTTCAATCACTGAACTTATAAAGTTCTTCTATTTTGCTTTACAATGTCATTTATGAATGGACACTTCCTGGTATGTGGGGCAGGAAACGTAGCCTTAAATGGTGTTTTTGTGGGTGGTAATTATGCTAATCTCCTCTCCCCGTGCGCGAGCACCTGATACACATTCATCAGTTTACAGAGCTCATTTAAAAACTTTTCCTGAAGATAGAAGAGTTTGTTGAATCTGACTTGTCATGTTCATATGAACAAAAGTAAGAGAAATTTAGGTTAAGAATACAAAAATGTTCTTGCATGAGGCCCATTGTTCCTCTCTTAAATCTGTTACAGCTCATTTGTTCTTTCAGGCAACCTTACGTTTTAGCTAAACTTTTGTTACTTTTAGCTTTGAGTTAGCCTTTTACTTTAATTTTTTGCTTTCTGATATTCATTTTCTATCTTTAGATTCTAGCTAGCATTATGTTACTAGGTGCCTTTCATCTAAATACAGTATTTGCTACTTTTAGCTTCTAGATAGCMTTTAGCTCTTTTTAGCTTGTTAAAGGGGTGATATCCAGGCACATACTTCAGTTCTACACCACAATCAAGTAACTATGTTACCTTCAAGCTGTTTGTTTATACTGAAAATAAATTTGACTTTGCATCATAGTCTATCTAAATACCTTGAAATTGGCCTCTGTCTCTTTAAGAACCTCCTACCATTTCTGACACTCCCACTTCAGCACATATTCACAACAATGCTTCAGAAGAGGGGTGCTCTGTAGGGCAGAAGCTYGGCTGCAGACTGAGCTCCAGGGAGGAGCCAGGTACAAAWARGCGGAGCTTTGTACCAAAAAGTGTTTAGACAGCTCCACATGGCTTCACGGGAGATTCAAGGATTTATCAAACATGTATGAATGAGTCAAAGCAAAACTCTGGGTGTGTTTTGATGAGGGAATGATATTATAACATGACATAAAGCTCAAAAGGTTTATTTTGCATAATTACCACCTCCCCTCCCACTTTAATAAGTACCTTTAATCGAAATATTTGCTACTTTTAGCTTCAAGCTAATATTTCAAGCTAGTATTTAGCTTTTAGTTAGCGTTATGTNAAACCAGAGCAGGACTAGAGAGAGATGAATATGATTTAGATTTTATTTCTGTGTCTGTATACGACCCACAGGAGACACGACATAATTACAGCAGTAGTTATTTCATTTCATTCCTCAGCTTTAGCAGGTCTGACGCTACTAAAAATGACTTTTTTTTTCTGGATCTCTGACAGCACGACTTCAATCTCCAAACTCATACTTCTTCTTTTTTCACTTAGCGATGTCATTTATGAATGGACACTTCCTGCTTCCTGGTATGTAGGGCAGGAAACGTTAGCTTATATGGTGTTTTTGGGGTGGTAGATTATGCTAATCACCTCTCCTAGTGCACGAGCAGCTGATACGCATTCATCAGTTTACGCAGCTCATTTACACACTTTTCCTGAAGATAGAAGAGTTTGTTGAATCTGATGTGGCATGTTCGTACGAACCCTTCATACGAACAAAAGTAAGAGAAATTTAGGATGAGAATACGATMATGTTTTTGCATGAGGCCCATTGTTTTAGTGTTAGTAAAGATTAGGCTACAGAAATCACATCCTAATAAAGATAGAAACACAATGCRTGTTTACATCATGACAGGGTCCAAACCTTGACTGAGCTAGTGACTCACTGACCACATTTCACTGAGCTGTAGTAACTTCAGAAGACTGACTTTTAAGTTAATGTTAAGTTTTATCTTTGTGATGCTCAACATAAATGCAAAGACAAAAAAATTGTAATAATGCAATGAACATGTAATCAAAATACTCAAAAGCTCTATTCATAAACATACCCGTAAGGTGAAAACAAGTGAAAAACCAATTAGGAAAACTTGAATTCAAGTTTCACACTGCTTATATAGACTTAAATTAGTTCTTGCACACCATGTTCTGCAACAGAAAACTAAAAATATCCAAAAAGGAAGAA